GGTGTGGCCGCCTGGGGGACAGAGGCTGCCCCCAGCCATCTCCACGCGGTGAAGACCAGGCAGGAAGCGTGGACTCGGCTGAGGCGGAGTCCCCGGGCCTGCTGGCTTCCCTCCTGTTCCACACTCACCTGTCACTCACCGCCTGCCGTTTTGTCTTTGCTGTCTCCCCTGCAGATTCAGAGTTGGGTGTTGGCACACTGCCCGAACATGACAGCCAGGATGCAGGGCCCATTGTCCCCAAGATATCTGGTCTAGAGAGGAGCCAGGAGAAGAGCCAGGACTGCGGCAAAGAGCCTATCTTTGAGCCCGTGGTGCTTAAAGACCCCTGCCCTCAGGTCCCGCAGCCACGACCCCAACCCCCGGCGGAGCCCCAGCCCAGAGCGCCTTCTCCAGACCCTGACTTGGTGCAGCGCCCAGAGGCACCGCCTCAGCCCCCACGTCAGAGCACACAGCCGCCGCAGGCCCCCCCAGAGGCCCAGCTCCCGCCGGCTCCAAAGCCCCCGGTGCAGAGGCCGCCCCGGCTGCAGTCCCCCACCCAGCTGCTCCACCAGAGCCTCCCCCCGGTGCAGGCGCACCCCTCATCCCAGAGCCTCTCCCAGCCGCTGTCGGCCTACAACAGCAGTAGCTTAAGCCTCAACAGTTTAAGGTGAGCCGACCTGCTCTGCTTTTGCCTGACCTTTGCCGTCTTTGGGGCGGGCAAGTAGTGGTAGGTAAGGGGTCACCGAGGAGACTGGAGTTTCCTTGTTGAAACACTGTCACTGTGTTCTCTCTGAAGTAGACACAGAAAGGGACAGCCAGGTGAGGCTTGGTCTCCTGGGAGAGGACAGGACAGGCTGGGTTGGGTCGAGGACACTGTAAAGAACCAAAGTATCTATAGAGGCTCCTGAGGAAGCGAAGGCAGGAAGAAGGGTGCTTCAGCAGAGCGCTGAGGGTGCTGTGCCCAGAGTCCCCGTGGGTGAGGCAGGAGCGGAAACCTGAAGCCCGTCAGCGATCGCTGAGAGCTAAGAGGCTCAGGAGGGAGGCTGTTTCCTCTGACGGAGGACGTTTGGAAGAAGCTTCTCTCTCTGCAGCTCCCGAGGCGGGAGGGGTGGGACCAGGGAGTGGTCTGGTTTGAGGTGTTTCCGTTGTGATTTACGTCCCGCAAGGTGGGTCAGACAGGGAAGGACCAGGCCGGGCGTTGACAGAGAGAGGTTCCTTCGTGGGGAGCTCCAGGCTCTCTTCTGTCTGGTGTTGCCAGATTACAAAGGAAAGTTCAAAAAGTAGCACAGAGGAGAGATGGAGGGAAGGGGAGGCAGGACCGAGTTGTCGCGGGGGTTGTAGTTCTTGCACCTCACACCTCGTGGGCTTGCGTCTTTGCTATTGTTTCCTTGTGACACTCTGACGGTGGCGGTTCAGGGACTTGCTTTCTCCTGTCCGTGTCAGGTGAGGAAACAGCCAGTGGGAGGCTGTCTTTCCCCAGTGGGCCAGGCCCAGCCGCTGCCCCGAGGTAGAGGTGACAGGGAACCCGAGCTCCCTGGTTCACCTCCTCTGTGTGTCATTTCCGAGGCGGTGGACAGACAGGGCGAATGCAAGTCCTCGCTCCTACTCCCTTTGTTAGTTGGATTGCTTTATAGGAAGCATGGAGGGTGGGGAGGCGTGAGTCTCTCTAGGGGCAGAGGGGGGACCTGGCCGCAGAGGGGGGCGGTCAGAGCGTGGAGCAGAATCGGCTGTCGACACAGGTGTGTGGAGGCTCAGGCGCCGCAGTTTCTGTCGCTGTGTCTAAGGCAGTGGCGGCCAGTGCAGGGGGGGCGTGAGCTTAGGAGGGGCTTCCCGTGTGCACAGGGGAGGGCCTGTGAAGAGCAGCAAGGGAAGAGGCATTGAGTGGCTTTGAGCAGGGAGATGGGATTCTTTTTTAAGAAAATCAATTGCTTACCTCTTCCTTTCTGCCTTGTTTGGTCCTCTGACAGCAGCAGCAGAAGCAGCACTCCAGCGAAGACTCAGCCGGCCCCTCCTCACATCTCCCACCACCCCTCAGCCTCCCCGTTTCCCCTCTCCCTGCCCAACCACAGCCCGCTGCACAGCTTCACGCCCGCCCTCCAGCCCCCCGCACACTCCCATCACCCCAATATGTTCGCCCCTCCCACGGCTCTGCCTCCTCCACCACCACTGACATCAGGGAGCCTGCAGGTCCCCGGACACCCAGCCGGGAGCACTTACTCAGGTAGGACGGAGCAGCTGGCCTCGCTCACCGAGTCCCACTCTCCCTCGCAGTGGCCTCACCTGCTGTCCCCGTTGTCCCCGATCCCTGGATTCTATCTGCTTCGCATTTTCCATTTTGTTGGGTGCAATCTTGTAATCAATCCTTTGTGGGCTGAGGCTCAGCAAAACTGTGTACCAGCACTCCCACCAACCTAGCACAAGCCGGATGGATGGGACACTGACAGAGAGAACCGGTGTGTCTGAGGCCATGAGGCTTTTCCAGCTGAGGTCACCACTGATAAAGGGGTGAAACATGGGTCCTGTGTGCCCTGTTGCCCTGCTCCCGTTAGCGTGACACATGCTTCCCTAGGTCCATGTCTGTTCCATTCTGGGCTCTTGGATTGCACCCGGGTTTAAGGGGTTTCTTTTAGGTGAACGGGGTCTTCTAGCTCCTTCCTGGGAGGGGCAGGTGCACTTGTAATAATGCTTCCCAGAATTTTAAGGGCAGACCCAGTGTTAGGTATTGGGCCCTTCCCTCCTCACCTGTGTTTATCATCAGGCAGGTGTCCCAATTTCAGGTCCTTTGTACCTGTGTTGGACCACTAATACAGAGCTGTCAGGCAGAGATTTACCCTTGAGGGCACTGGAGCTTGCCCTGTAAACAGCTGACATCTGTTAATTAGCATGCCAGTCACTGTGTTCAAGCACTTACAATGTTAATTCCTTTAGCCCTCAGAATAAACCCCTGGGGTAGGCAGGAGTGTCCCATGTGATAGATGAGAAAACGGAGACACACGTGGGCGACTAGCCATGTCCAGGGCACTCAGCTGGTAGTCACACAGAGCTGAACATCGACCTGGGACATTTACCTGGAATCTGTTGGCAGCACACCACAGGGACAGCCCTGTCCTTCAAAGCCAAGCACCCCGACAGGACAGGAGGATTGCATTGTTACCGGGCCTCGCTATCACCCACCTGGTTGGCTGCCCCCCTGAGAGCCCCATGTCCTGCTCCCTCCCTGGCCAGGTCCTTGGGTGTCCTGTTCTGAAGGAAATCACCCTCGAAGGAAAGGTGTCATCCTCTCCCTTTCCTTCTTTACAGAGCAAGACATCCTGCGACAGGAACTGAACACGCGATTCTTGGCCTCGCAGAGCGCTGACCGCGGGGCCTCCCTGGGCCCGCCGCCCTACCTGCGCACCGAGTTCCACCAGCACCAGCACCAGCACCAGCACACGCACCAGCACACGCACCAGCACACCTTCACACCCTTCCCGCACGCCATCCCTCCCACTGCCATCATGCCGACGCCAGCACCTCCCATGGTGCGTACCCCAGGCAGAAATGTGAGGATAAGTAGAGCGCGGCTCTTTCTGCAGCACGTGGGTGGAGTGGGCTGCCGGGGGCAGGAGGTTGGGGGGGTGGCAGCGGCCAGGGGCTGCTCTGGCCTGTCCAACTTGCTGGAAAGAAGGGGGTGTGCCTGCTCCAGCCAGCACTAACCTGGGCCTGAAGTAGGAACTTTGTTCTAGAGTTACGTCTAGCACGGTGGGTGGGCTTTATCCTAGACGCCCTCAAAACGGTCACATCCAGTGTTGGCAGTTAGCTTGACTTGCAGGATAATTTTGTTTTCCTTAACATGTCACCAGATATAAAAATCTCTGTTGTCAGTGCTAACAATCAATGCTCAGAGAATGCCCGGAGTCAGGAAGAGGCTGGGGTGGAGGGCGGGGCTGTCAGGAGACTGGAACCACATTGGGTACCCTGCCCTTACAGACGTTGGAGGCCTTACCTTTTGGTATTCATGAGATGGTGCCAGTCTGCGGTTGTGCTCTGTCAGGCAGAGGAAAGAGAGCCAGGAGCCCTGGAGGGACAGAGCTCAGCTGTGGTAATAGGTACCGCTGGCAATGACCATGGTCTTGGTCTTGACCGGGGTCCAGCACACGCCGGGAGAGCCACTGAGGACTGTTTTGTAACTTAGGATCTGTAGTGAATAGTGTGATATTAGGATGCTCAGTATCCTGAAATAGAGCCCTGTCCGTAACAGTGAACATTAGAGTGGTTCACTTAATTTTTATTAACGTTAAATGAAATACTTGATTTTAAGGCAATTAATATAGGCACTGTGAGAAAAGATTTTAATCCCATGATTTTAAGAGGCATTCCCTTTATTTTTTTCAACCTAATTTTTAAAAATATATATTTTAAAGTTCATTTTATAAATTTTATTTAAGAAGATCAGAGACGAGGCCTTGGGTCGGAAGTATTTTCTTATAGCAAATCCTGTATCTTTTTTTCCTAGAGGAACTAGACTTTTCAACAGTTACGTCTTCAAGGGCTTGTTACGTTGGGAAAGAGTTTATGCCTCTTGAGTGAGGTGCTTCATAAATAGATTAAATCGCACAGAGGGAGTTACACCCCCAGGCGGTGGCCAGTATCTAGAGGAAACAATGGTACGCTCTTTTCTGCTCAAAAGCAAGGCTGTAAGACCCAGCCCAGACTGCTTTGTATTGGGTGTAATACACTTCAGAAGACAGCCGAACGTCCAGTTCTTCTGCCAAAGTGAAGGTGAAAATGGAGGAATTCTTTGGATAAATAGACCCAATGCTGCCTTACCTCCAGTTGGCCCGAATGATATGCCTCTTTTCTCCAGTTCATATGTCTGGCCTGTGCCAGTCTCTGAACACTGAGTAGAAGGCGACACAGTAGTGTGGCCAGGACCTGACTGCACCGTGTGGGTTTTCACGTTCTCTTTCCACTTTGCTGGTTTCTGCCAGTGACTCAGGAGCTCAGATACGATGGCTTCACGCTCGATGAGGTTGTGGAGCCGGATGACAGAGCGCTGACCGGGGGCCTGCGTAGGGCAACCTCCGCGGACGCAGTGAACAGAAATGTAGATTCTCTGAGTAACTAGCTTTTGCTTTGATCCCTTTACAGTTTGACAAATACCCTACAAAAGTTGACCCATTCTACCGGCACAGTGTGAGTCTTACTACCGTGCTACGCGTTCAATGTACCTGCTTTTCCATTTCTCGTGTCCTTGCCACAGACCAGCAAATGGCCCGCAGCTTTCCGTAATCATCTTCGCAAGGCTTCCCATTGCTCCTTGTCGCTCTGGATGCTTGCTTTCGTGGCGTTTGCTTTTGGGTAAAGATGCAGTATCGACTTCAGAATCAAAAGGTCATAAGTAAACTTAACCTAGGACTTGGAAGCAAAGTTGGACTTCCCTAAACGTCGGGCGTCTGTCCCGCAAAGCCGGGTGTCTGCAGTCGGCTCACTGTAGTTTCAGGAGAGTCTGAAATCCCAGGACTTCATCAGTTGAAATATCATCACCACAGAATTCCTGGAATTCAACTCAAGTTATTTCCTCTGAGTAGAAAGTCCTCCTATATTTTTGACTCAACTTTTCACAGAGCAGGTTTTTAGACTAAATGCAGAAGCCTCTCTCACCTGCTGGTCGTGTTCTCCTGAGCTTGTTACAAATGAAAATAGGGATATTTAAACCAAAGGAGGTCTTAACATTGAAATGGATGATTTCTTTCTCTTTCAACACATTCTTTAAAAAAATAAAATAAAATACTTGTTTTATGCAATTTTAAGAGGATGGTCTGGAACTTAATTGGTACCAACCTGTGTTTTAGGTCCAGTTACTTATAAGAGAAGGACTCCTCTTTATACAAAGACCTTGAACATCTTACCACAATATTTTGATTGTGGAGTGAATACTGCATCCTTTTTACCTGAAATTGTGCAAGTTTCTTCGCTTAGTGGCTTATTTGTGTTTTTTAAATGAAACCAGGAAGAAGGGAGACTAAATTGCTTGTAGCCATGTTGACTCACCACACTCCCTGCTTTGATTTGGGGCAGAAGTGTTAGTAGATCAGCCAAGGCTGTGAATTCATTCATACTTAGAACCAGATCATTAGATGTCGTGTTCGTCCTGGGTACCTGAGAAGTCAAAACTAGAAAACAATGAAGAATCAGTCTGGAGACCTTCAGAAAGAACATGAGAGAGTCCTCTTCGGAAAGGGTCGAGGGAAGTGCACCTGAGCGCCTGGGCCCCCGCATTGTCCCCCCCAGCACTCTTTCCGTTCAGTGGGAACTATGAGGCAAAGCACTTTTTTTAAATAGACATGAAAATCCAGTAGCCTTGTGGGTTTCCTCTTTGGGTGTGTCCCATGAATGAGGCCATCTTAATAATCATCAGACCTCTGCCCTTCGTCTGTATCTTACTGATCTGAATTAGAGTTTAGGGTACTCAGCAGGGGATCGCCTCGTTCTATGCATATTCCTCAGTCCTAGACTAAAGATGGAGAGGAAGCCTGAGGGCCTGAGTTTTTGGAAGGTTTACATTTTATTGTTTACGTACTTGAGATTTCTAGTCAAGGGGGTATATGGTTAGCTGTATTCTAAGGGCGTCAGTAACAGAATCAGGCAAAAGGGAAATTGTGAGAACGCCAGTTTTTATTGAAGACATTAAAGTAAAAATACCCACCTGGAGGCAGAGTAATAGAAATTTGCGTGTGTGTTAGTGTGGCATGTATTTAATTACTCTGCTTCATACCGTGTACTGTGGGAGAGTCATTTCATGTTATTAGTTATAGCGGGGAATATGCGAAGTGCTCAGTCTCCCCTGCTTTGGGGATTCGGACGTTATAAGGGGAATTAAGATGCAATGCACTCAAGTATCTAAAACACAATTTTAAGACTTAAAAGTAGTTTTAAATGAGGGCACTTGGCTTGCAATCACTGTTTAAGTGGATTTAGTTCAATATCAATTAGTCTGGAAAACTTTGCTGCATCATTGAAGGGAGCAGAATGAAATAAAGACCCGCAGAATGAGGATGTGCCCTGAAAACAGACGGGGTGTAAAATGTGGGCTCCGGTCATTACCTAGCGATGGCCAGATTAATGCATTGTTAGGAATAACAATGCATTATTGTATTTTCGACATATTATACAGCCGTGTGGGTGGGACGCTCCTTAAATACCTGTACGGTGGTTTGATCAAAGTAGGAAGCAGAGCCGTAGGATCTCAGATGCTAAGTTCCGTTTGCATTGTCCTCACGGCCGCCGTGTTTCTCTTCCCTGCGTTGTGTTGTGTTGTCTGAACGAGCAGTTCAGGGAAGCGTACGTACCTAATTCAGAATCAGTCCCCTCCACGGAGCTTGTCCGCCCTGCAGACACGCGGGCGGCTTCCGCGAGAGTCGGCGTCGAGTCCTTCCGTTTTACTCTCCTTCAGATATTTGTCATCATTTCAGATGAGACAATTAAATTGTCCTCTGGAGCTGCCACTCCTAGAACAACCTAATGAAGCAAGGATTGTGAATATTTTCTCATTTCCTCAAACTATTAAAAATCCAAAAGAACTAATTGAGTTTTAATGGTGTAAACCCTGGAACTCATAAAGACTCGCTTCTTTTTTCTGCCTTTGTTTCCGTCTTCTTTTTTCCTTTTTTCCAATTAACTTGTAATTTTCTGGGCAGCTTCTTTGGCTCAGCACCCACCCCTCCTCTTTTTGAGATGCATTGAAATCTCCAAACCGTTTAGGACTTTTATCGATTTAACAATTAATAATTAGAAGAGCTCCCTTTTCTAATGATGTCTTCATCCGGGACGTCATTTGTTGACTGATTGATTCTGAACTACTTTTAAGTTTTGAGTTAAGCGTTCGTGGCACATCTGTGTGATCATCTCATCGTGGCTTCTTGACTAATAGCGTCACACTGAGATTACTAGGCTTGCTAATGCTGGTGTCTTTCTGTGGGGAGGGAATTGGAGTGTTATCAGTGCCTCCGACTAACAGCTTTTTCTCCCTCTCCGTCTTTGGCCACAGCTCTTCCATTCCTACCCTCCTGCAGTATCGGGCATCCCCCCTATGATTCCACCCACTGGCCCTTTTGGTTCATTACAAGGAGCATTTCAGCCGAAGGTAAGACACCTTACAGCGGAAACGCACGTGCGTGATGTAAGTGGAGCCTCGGGCCAAGCGCGCGGGTGGGTTCTGCATCCTCTTGCCTGTAATTTTCCTGACCCAAAGTGACCACTGGGATTAGAGTGAGAATATTTTCTTCTAGTCCATCTAGTTTTAAACTCCAGCCACATTTAATTTTCAGTTTGTACTACCTGTGTCATCTCAGTTGAGCTAGGATCCCCTGTGCTCTTTAAAAACATCAGAATATATATGTATTTTTCCACCAGTATTGTGGGCATAAGCTTCTGGTCAGGAATTCTATCAGCTGTCAGATGAATGTGCACCGAGTTGTCCCTGAGGTATATTTTATTAGCAAAGATGCAAAGCAGAGCCTTTATTGATTTTAACAGGAAGGAGGAGAAGGGTTCCAAACTAAAATCGTATCTAACTATGGGAAGGGAAGATGCTTCGTTTCTCCTCCCTCGTTCCCCCCCCAGCCCATCTGTCTGCAAATGGGTCCTGCCAGCAGGTGGAGGGCAGTGCCCGCCTTGTCCGTCTCTGCCCTCCCAGTCCTCCCACCCCGCACCTGCCCCTTCACACCTGCCAAGGTCATCACTGACAACCTAGTGTGAAATTAACCTTTGACCCTCGGTAATAACCGCATTCTTTCCTGCCTAGTCACTGATATGCTACTGAACAGTTGCCTCCAGGGTCAGTATTGAGGAGTAATTCTCAGAAACGAACCTTGTTGTGACTTTCAATCTGCTACAGCCCCTACTTTACAGTCATGCAAAAAAACCCACAATGTATTTCTCANTTGTTCTACAGTTGCCTCCAGGGTCAGTATTGAGGAGTAATTCTCAGAAACGAACCTTGTTGTGACTTTCAATCTGCTACAGCCCCTACTTTACAGTCATGCAAAAAAACCCACAATGTATTTCTCAGGTTAGGAACCCATCTCAGATTTTAAAGTAGCAAGTTTTTCTGTATGTGATTGGTTTTCTTATTATTTTCCATCTCATTTCTTAGACAAAACTTCTATTTTGGGCTAGAGTCCCCCAGGACGAGCACATACTACATTTCCAAAAGCATGTTTGCCTTAATACTAGGAATAGGAAAAGAAATTAAAAAGCATTAGGGGTGGGCCAGCTGCCCCTTGGAAATCACATTTACCTGCACTGGGTTGCAGTTTATACGCCAGGTTATGTGTACAGGGGGCTTTTACAACGGCCGTGTTCAACACCTCCTACCTCAGGGTAAAATGATGGTGATTTTTAAACTCCTTCCCCCATCTGCTCATTACTACTCCCTCGGACCCTGGTCTGTCCCCTCCAGGTTTCCACAAATCTCTTGCACGTCTCCAAGCAGACTGGTAGGTCATTTAATAAATTAGACTATTTCCCTCACTCACAATTATCCAATCACACAGAAAACTACATCTGGGCGAGAAAGCGTCTCTCCTGGTGCTGAAACAGGCCTTTCCAGGCCGCCTTGCTGATTGAGTATGTAGATTGCAGTTCATTAGTGGGGCTCTTCATATGTATGCAAATCAGGCTGTTAACAACCCCAGCTTCATCTCTGGTTGTACAGCAGCTGATAGCTTTTCTTCCCTTTTTTTTTTTTTTTTTCCCCCCCCCCGCTTCTCCTGTAGGTAAGCTTTGTGCCTAAACCTGAGCTCTTTTCCCCACAAGTACTTGCTGGTGGGAAAGGATTCTTAGAGGTTGGGATTTGTCAAATAAAATGCCCGGTGAAAAATTTTCTGAATCCTTTACCCACTAGGAAGTCGTGGCTGCTTGTGCCCGACGTGGGCTTTCTGTTGCTGTTGCTGTGAATTCAAAGGACAAAACCCTACAGATAGGGTTAGTGTTTGTTATTAATGAGTCTTAAGAATGGTGTGGGGAATAGGAAAGAGGAAGCAGAATTGCTTCAGAAATCATTTCATGTGAATCTGTGTGGTCCCCAAATTAGGTTCTCTTGTCCCATTTCCACTGCTGCTAATGAGTAATTATGGAGCGTAATTCCTTGTTATTGTCTGCCAGTTAAAATTTAGGGAGTTAGCTTAATGTCTGTAAAACACTAACAGTTATTCTGATGAGAAACACCTGATAGAGCAAATTATGATGATGTTCACTTAAGCATTTCTTGGAATGTTTGTTTGGTGATAAAGTAAAAAAAAACACCAATGACAGGGCTGTGGGGGGCTCGGCAGAAAGGTGGGTGTCGGGGCAGCGCCTGTGTGTCTGGGCTCTCCTTTTGGTCTGCACAGCAGAATGTGGCCTCTCTGGTTTCACATGCTGTCTCTGGAGAGAGGGCAGTCTCCAGCCAGGGTCCCTTAGAAATAGGGCGCGGGTCCTGATGAAGAGCATGTGTGATCCCTGAGAAAAATGAAACAAAATTGGGGGCTGGGTGGGAAAGGTGAAGGGATTCAGAAGCACAAACTGGCAGCTATAGAATAGTCGTGAGGGTGTCAAGTACAGCTTAGGGAACACAGTAATATTGTAATAACTGTATGGTGCCAGGTGGGGACTGGAAATATTGAGGGAAGACTTTGTGAAATATATGATTGTCTAACCACTAACTATGCTGTGCACCTGAAACTGTACATAAGACTATCGGATGTAAACAACGACATTTGACTTCTGTCACTTAGAGTGAAATCAGGGTCTTGCTTTCGTGATATGTGTTACAGGCTCCCTAAGCTATGGTCTGATTCATTTGTAGACATCCAATCCTATCGATGTTGCTGCTCGACCTGGGACAGTCCCACACACTCTACTCCAGAAGGACCCGAGGGTAGGTACTGAGTGAGGCCTGATCCCAGGTAACACCAGAGGGGGGGGTGGTGTTTGGGTGGGGCAGCCAGCTCAGCACTCGAACCTTCTTAGCGCGTCCGAGTGGGCTGCCGTTCCAGCTGCTGCTTCTAGTTTGTGAAAGAACATGCCAGTCACTTGTAGAAAATAAGATCTCTTCTGCTCTACTGTGGCCTGGCCACATGGCACAGTGTGCTGATGGCTTACGGTCTGCAAGCAGGAACTCCACAGTACCAGCTGGTGTAGTTACTACTAAGCCAGTCTCCTCTGTCTGTGTTTCCTTACATTTCTCTCACACAAAAGAAATAGCTGTAAAAAGCTTTGAATGGGGAAGCACCAAGAGCTCTTTTTCCTGGGAGTCAGGACACATCCATCCCCGCTTCCCTGGGGTCAGGAATTCCCTTTGCCACACAGCTCTCTGGTCTCCACTTTTAATGTGCCCTAGAGCTAAATAAAATATCCATTATGCTGTGGCTACGTTATATATTCACAATGTCTTCCTCTGCCTACTCTCAAAAAAAATTTAATGTTCTACAATAATCTTGTTTCATTGATTGTTATTTACACTCGTGTTTGTAGTAAATATGAAAAATGATTACCTTTTACAATATTGTCTTTTTCCCTGGGTAAGGGCAGTCAGAAATTGATGACCAGAGTTAGGTAGAAGTTTAAAATGACTCAACTATGTAAGTATGTTTATGCTGTTTAGTGGATGGACTTCTTTAAAATGTCTTATACCTCTAAGTACGTGCAGCCATTGAATTAAGGGCATTGGTGGAGGTATCCTAGTTCTGCCGTGTGTCTGGAAGGACACGCTCCCCAGATACCCCTTAGTATCCAGCCACACACGTCCACGGTCTGGTGGCCATTCTGCCTCAGACCCACCCGTGGGGCTTGGAGGGGCTGCTGGAGATAGTGAAACTCCTCAGATGTGTAATGGGAGCAAATCACGTTGCCAGAGGGCAGATTGCTCTTGATTGGACTTGTTTAGGGGGCTTGTCAGAGCAGACACACCAAGCTTGTGAGGTGGGGGAGGGGACACTTGGCACTTTTGATGGTGTGAAAACGGGTTAATTATTCTCTGAAAGGGCTTCATTTGAAAGTAAAATTCTAACATTTTAATTTCCCCTCCTAATGAAGCACCACAAATTTGTTAATTAGAGCAATTGTTTGAGTGACAGGCATGTAACCAAGTTGTCATTTTCTCTTCACAGTTGACAGATCCTTTCAGACCCATGTTAAGGGTAAGAAAGCTTCTTCTGGAACTGTTTTTGCAACCTCTCTGTGACTCCCGTGGGTTAAAAATGCAAATCCAGTCTGCGGAAACAAGCCCCAGAAAGTCGGGAGTGAAGTGTTGCAGTGACCTTTTTGTTGGGTTGGGTTTCTCAGGTAGAACGGTTGAGAATGGCCTAAGTGGTTTGGCTTCAGTGTGAGGGGAAGCCAGGCTCTTGAGGTAAAACGAACAGATAAAATTTTATCTGAGTCAGATGCTCTTGTTAGCAGTTCTAGTGGAAGGTTCGACTAGTGGGAACTTGAGGGGAGGGGATTAAGCTCTAGGCTGAAAGTAGAATTTCCCTGAGTTCTGCTCTCTCTCGCACCTAGAAAATCTATGTATCTGGGTCTGTTTATTTTGGCTGGTGGCTGCCTCATTCTGCAATAAGTGGTGTCGGCTTTTCCCAGCCACTCAGCCTGCCTCTCCGGTGCAGAGAAGGGTTGCTACAAGCCTCGGTTTGTTAGAGGTCTGGAGAGTGGCCAGCAGATGACCTCTGAATAAATACCAATGTACTTGGTTGGTTGGGGCAGGAGGGAGGATGGATGGTTGGACAGAAGATGGATAGATTTCCTGCTACACTTAACCCATTTCTGGTGCGTAAAATCATAATTCAGTTTCTCAAAAAACGAGGACTGTGTCATCACTTAGGTGATGTCACATGACCCATGGTTTTATTACAGAAGAAAACTGACCCCAGACTTGGGTTTAAGTATATATTTCAGAATCAGGTCCCCTCACCATCCCTGTAGTTACTGAGCGCACATTCGGAGCTTATGGGTGGATCACGTAGCAGGAGACAAGTGAGGTGGGAAAACCTGGTCCCTGCCCTCCGGCTCCGGGTGGTGAGACTGAGCACACTCACGGTTTCGCCACTGCTCGTGAAGCAAGACGTGAGACAACGTGCGAGACTTGGATTGCTAGAGGAGGAAAGTGACAGGTGAAGAGGCCTGGAGAGTAGGAAGGCCCGAGCTCTCCCCTTGGCTTCTTTCTCCGTTTGACTTAGAGGACGGTGCCCACCATCATGAATGGACAGGTGACCCTTAGTGAAGCACTTAGAGGAACTGGGCTTCAGTACACTGCGGGGAACTTCTCTGTCTTGCTCTGGGGATTTAGGAGAGCCGGTGATGGAGGAGGTTCCAGGGTTCTGGACCCTCTTGTTTTCAGCGGATTCACAGACATTCACTAATGAGCTCTCGGAACAGCCGATTTGCATGATAGCATGGCCGCATTTGTTAAGCAGGGCTTCCCGCTCTCCCAGTCTGCCAGCTGGCACCAGAAAAGCAAGCAAGCAGAGACTTGGGGCTTTTGCCGTCCCGTCCTTGGTAACGGAGGCCCTCGCCAGTGTGCTTTTCTGAGGATCAGTGCCAGCTCGGGCTCCCGTGGGAGGAGGGGGGACTCACTGGGGCTCCTTGGGGCCTGGGCACTGGAGAGTCCTTGACAGAAGGCACTTGGAGGATACACAAAGCACTCTTGTTTCCCGATAAAAGCCTCTGTAGCCCAAATCTGCCGAAAGCTCTGGGGAAATGGGAGGCGGTTTTCTCCGAAAGGTCCTCTTTCTGACCATGTGGCTGTTTCTGTTGCAGAAACCGGGGAAGTGGTGTGCTATGCACGTGCACATTGCCTGGCAGATCTACCACCACCAACAGAAAGTCAAGGTCAGTCCTGCCCTCCCAGCCTGGGGTGGGACCCGGGCCTGCGGGCGTGGGATCTCCCCACGTAGGAGGCGTTTAAACCAATTCTGAAGACCCGCTGGCAGGAAGGGTCCAATGTCTCCTGGAAAAGCTGTTTGGAAACTTTACTATCCATTAGGGAACCACTAGCTAAAGGACGAGACAGAAGCAAACTGATAACTCCCTGATGATTTTTTCCTTTAAAAAAAAAAAATGTGTCTTATTGATCTAAAGAATTTAAATGCAGATTAACTCCCAAAATAAACGTTTTGGGGAGATACGTAGACCAGACGTCTCCAATGGGACAGGATTTAGTTATTGCAGAATCTGAGGGAGTCCGAGGTGGGGTGGAGCCGAGCAGGAAGACCTGTGCAGGAAAGGAAGGAATGGGTGTATTCTTGTCATTTTAGGGCTTTGGGAAAACGACTGAGTAATTTAAGCCCTGTAGGATGCTGCAGAACTCCCGTTAGTCACGCACAGTATTAAAATGACTCTACTAGAAGTAGTATTTGTTCTGCAGTGGCCGCTCTACACCTCACCGGTCCTCCTGGTGACTGGCCAGAGGACAGAGCCCAGTCAGTACCTGTCAGAACCACCGTCTGCCCAGTTACCTCCCCTGTCCGTGGCTGACTTTTCTTTTCCATCTGGTTCACCACACAGGTGAACACAGTGCATGCTCTACCAGGCCTTTAGGACACACTACAGGGGCGGTCGGGGACTGCTGCAGGTGACCCGATGTGGCATCACTGGTTGGCATAGGGAAGAGTAATCGACGAGTCCAGATTTTACAGTCTATGTAGCTGTGCCTGGAAAAAGGGGGGGCGGGAAACAGCCGACCTAGTCATTCCAATAAGCTTCGCTTAGCCCATTTTTTCAATAATAAGCTTTTAGTCCTACTGGCATTTGGGAACCATTTATGAAAATAATAAAAGGTGATAATCAGAGGGAGAGCTAGTCACCACAGAAATGTGTTTTGGTGTGTTGGGTTTTTTTAGTGGCTAAATGATTTTTTGAAAACAAACCTTTAAAAATTTAAAAGCCAACTTCAGTGAATGAGGCCACACAGATGTTTGCTTTGGTGCCGAATACCTGCTCTTTCTCAACATCCTATCAGTGAGTTTTGCTCACTTTTACTTCATTGTTGGGCAAGGTTTAATTAGAAACCTTACGGTGTAGCTTAGAGTTTGAAAACGTGTGTGCTTTGAGGCGCGTGCTAGATTTTGACACATAGCTCAGTTCCCGTCCTGTGCCGTGGTTCGTGGAACGGTAGGTAAGACGCGTCCTCCTGCAACTCCTTTGGTTGGAAGAGATGAAGGATGCTGTGTGCGCCCTTTCAGCAGCTCCCTTTCCGTGACAGTGTCCGCGGGGACGGACGCCTTCATTATCCCGATTCAATTAGGGAGACCTCTTCCACACGAGGTAGCTGTTCCCCTTCCCTTCCCAGCAGCTCTCTGGAATCCCCCGGCGCCATTGTGCTTCATGGACCTAACTTGTGGTTAATGGAACTGGGCTGTGTACCGTGCAGTATTAGCACTAAATAATTTGGCAACCAAATTAAAGGAGCCATTCAAGAGATTTTTATAGATTTATAGTGAATTAGAAGCTTCGTCTTGGGGTTTGGCTGTTCCTTTAGAGCGGGACTTCCACGGCAGTGTTCCCTGCAGATTTGAGCAGAAATTGCATTGTCCCCTTTTCCTGTGTTCATTTCATCCTTTTGGTCCCTCACCGAGTATTTGAGAGCACCTCCTGCCCGCAGGCTCCTCGCAGTGCCCGGCTCGGGGGGCACTCAGCCATCTGCCCTGCTGTCTGGTTGCTTCCAGCTCAATAGCAGGGTCAGGGTGTGTGTAAAAGATGGTGAGTGTGCTGTCCGCGTCCAGGGGGTTGCTTCCAGCTCGGAGGCTCAGGTGGGCCTCACCCTAAATAGGCGTGATGCCTGAGTGGGCTCGTGACCTTCGGCAGTGAGGACGCAGCAGACGGTCTGATTCTCTCTCACGTTGGGTCAGGTGCCACCCTGTTGACTTATATGGACAGGGCTTATTTATAACACACATGAGGGAGTTTGAGGTGGAGTGGAGCCAAGGGGACTGAGAGCATCGGATGAGTCTAAGAGAGCAAGCGTGGAGTCAGAAGCACACTAAGGGCCGTGAGGGAGTGGGAGACTGGACAGTGGGGAGGTGGTGACAGGGCGGGGAACCTCGGAGCTTCGGACCCAGGCCCGGGGTGAGGGAAGGGGATTGGTGCTCATCCAAGGGGGTGTGAAGCTGATTCAGAGAGGGCTATTGAGCATCAGGGAGGTGGGGCAACTTTGAAATTATGCTGTTTGAGTGGGCTGCTGGCCTCAAGAATGATGTCCAGGTAGGAAATGTCGTCAGTAACAGTGTAATAACTATGTGTGGTGCCAGGTGGGTACTGGAAATATCAGGGGGAACACTTTACAAAGTGTGTGATCCTCTAACCACCATACTGTACATCTGAAACTAACACAAAATAATATTGCATGTAACTGTAATTGAAAAAAACAATGTTGCTATTTTAAATGATAATTTTTGAAGTTTCATCTTCAAATATATATTGCTGCAGTATAAAAATAAAATTGATGTTTGCATTAAAAAATAATGATGCCGGGTTAAGGAATCAGGAAGCAGATTAGGAGCTAATTTCTACAGCCTTGGAGGAAGGCGAGCTGACAGGTGAGCTTGAGGGTGGATTTATATATAAATACGAGGAAGTAGAGCGGCTGCAGTTGGTGGCAAGGACTTGACAATGAGAGGGGCTCCTGGTGGCTTTCTGGTCTGGACTGCTCTCTTAAGTAATTAGGGATAGCAGGCAAAGAAAAGACCCCCTATTAGTTAAATTAATATCCCTACTTTGTTTGTTTTTTAAAATATGTAACAATGATCATTTGAAAATTAGCTTGTAGGCATGCAAATATTTCTTCATAACTTTCCGTTCCTAATGTACTGTGATCTATTAGAGAAGGGTAAAGAGTCATTAAACAATTAATTTACACAGAAGATTATCCGTGCAGAGTTCCTAATAAAATGAGCTTTAAAATACTATTTAAAAACTTGCTAAAGTGGGCTTTTGCAGTGAATCATAAGCTACTTTNTGTGCAGAGTTCCTAATAAAATGAGCTTTAAAATACTATCATTTAAAAACTTGCTAAAGTGGGCTTTTGCAGTGAATCATAAGCTACTTTGGAGGAGTGGTGGTTTGAGTAAAGAAAGATACGATTTTATTTCTCAAACCCTATAGCCTGAGAGAGAGAGAACACTCGTTTTGCTGTTTGACCTTCTGATCTGAGAGACAGGTGCTGCCCAGTAGCCAGCCCGGCTGCCCTGCTTCTCTGGCACCGCGGGTTAAACGGCTTGCGGGTTGCTGGGTTCCCGCAACATTCATGAACTCCAGCCTGACGGGCTCGAGCGAATGCACCCTTCACAGTTCCCTCTCTCAGTCTCGGCCACTCATTAATATCTGTCTTCCCTGCTGTTTCTCTGGGATGTCATCTGTTATCCCCCCCTCCCCTTGCTGCTTTAGAAACAAATGCAGTCAGACCCACATAAACTGGACTTTGGACTGAAGCCCGAGTTCCTGAGCCGTCCTCCAGGCCCCAGTCTCTTCGGAGCCATCCACCACCCCCACGACCTGGCACGGCCTTCGACCTTGTTCTCTGCCGCAGGTGAGTTCAGAGGGGATGGGAGCACTGGGAAGGGTTCTCAGGTAGCTCGGCAAATCACGTTTGCTCTCTGGGACACCGCTCAGTCACTCCCAAAAAAACACAATTCATGCCAGCTTGCACAGCCACCTCACAGCACAGCTGGGGACATGGGTCCTCCTCCACTGATACACCCGTGTTTCATTAAAGATGGAAAAAAAGATCCTCTTTCCCTTCAGGGGCTCACAGTGCTTCAGTTCTTTGTTTGCTTCTGTACTGAGCCAGTGTAATTCACAAGCATGCCAACTGCTACTGGGAAAAGATCAGAAAGTTTGTAAGGGCGAGCGGGAGGGAATGATGCCCACACTCTTACAAGGCTGCAGATGCCCTCAGCCTTGGTGCCCACAGAGCGCTCGGTCACTTTGCACAGTGATGCTCAGTCCTGCTGTGTGTGGAGGGCCTGAAGGTAAAGAGATACAGTTGCCCCTTGAACAGCATGGTTTGAACCCTGTGGATGTTTACACTGACTACACAGGGCCCTGCAAGTGTATCTTCTCTTGTTATAATTTTCTTAATAACCTTTTCTCTTCTCTAGCTTACTTTATTGTAAGAATGCCGTATACAATAATATACAAAATATGTGTTAATTAACTGTTTATGTTATGGGTAAGGCATCCAGTCAACAGTAGGCTATTAAGTTTTGAGGGAGTTAAGTTTTGCGGGTTTTCTACTCTGCAGGGGGTTGGCTCCCCTAACCCCCAGGTTGTTCAAGGGTCAACTGTACAACTGTGATAGTGGCTGGCAGTATGTCTGTGATAGGGAAGGTGAATCGGTTGGTTGCAATACAGGAAATTTAGGGAGCAGGGTATAAAACACCCAAGAGATCTGTTCATTAAGGTCTGAGAGTGCCCACTGCCGAGAGACTCTAGAGCGTGCCCAGTGCGGGGGCAGGGGCTACTGAGGGCCACTGCTTCGGGTGACCACCCTTGTCTGTGCCAGGTACATGCAGACCAAAGGCGATGGCTGTAAGGAGTATTAGGTAGCCAAGAACAGCACTCTGTATCAAAGGCTCCTCACCCTTTAGCCTTTTCTAAAACTCATCAGTGCAAGTGCCTGGCACAGGGCCCCTTGATAAAACTTGTGGACAACTCCATAATGGAATTCCCGCTGTGCTGAGTAAGATTTATTCTTGCGGACACGAATCTCTGAGGGGCTCCGTTTCTCATCCTTAGGGAACAGGTTTCACATCCATCCTACCTGCCGCCTTCCCAGGCTCTTATTCAAGGAGAGAAACACCCACGTTGCAAGAAATCGTCATCTTAATGGGCTTTGTTGCCAAAGCAAGTGAATCCCCTGGAGGGTAGATGGAGTTTGCTAAGGTCTCAGGTTTTCCTCTGTCGGTTCTGTCTAGGGACGCATTTGAAGGCTTTGTTACCATGGCACCTGGGCGCTGAGACAGGGCCATGTGAAGAGCAATTTTTGGAGAGAAATAAGAGAGATTTCTCCCTGGCTTCCGTGTGAGCCAAGAGGATGAATTGGCTTCTTTTGCTTCAATAATTCTGGGACTGCAGGGCACCCTAGGGCCCTGGCCAAGCAGAGCTCCCATCCTCATGGAAGCATTAATTAGCTGTACCATACAGTATGCAGCCAGAATTTTATTTCACTGGCAACTCCGTAATAACTAATGAAATGTTGGGTTCCGTTCCCTCTGTGGAGATGGGGTTTCATATTTGCACTTTCTGGGTGGAGAGTAAGCCCCTACCTAGGGCTGAACAGAGAACTGCTCGGGTGCCTTCCAATTCCGGGACACCGGGACTGGGAGGTGTGCCCCTGTGCCGGGCGGCTCCTCCACACCCAGGCCCGTGGGCCCCTGCAGGCTGGGGAACAACCATCCGAAACATAAACTGATTTAACAGGGTTTGGGGGAGGGGCGGCCCTTCTCCCTGTAATCTGTGTTTCGGAACAACTCATACTTGTTCATAGGGGGTTATAGACTAGTTGTTTGTAAATTCATTCAGGCCCCGTTTATACTTCCATTCTGGAAGGTAATCTTTTCCAGTATATATGGTATAGGATTTTGCCCCAAATGGTTATTTGGTGAAACTTTTAACCCATATGTATAATTGGCACACACTTGTTAAATTCAGCCACTCTTGTCTCACTGTTGGACACTAGAGCCTGCAATAAACCAAACAGGCATCTTCAGGTCACCTTGGCCAGTCTCTCGGCTAGAGCCAAGCCTGCCTCCCGGAGAGCTTGCCTCCTCAGCTACCACTTGCACCAGCCAGTGTGATGCCCTGAGCTCTTAGAAATACTGTCCGCCCCTGATTCACAAGTGTACACACTCTGGCTCTCTCTATCCCTCTTTCCTTCCCAGCTTCCTTCAAGAAAAGGATTGGAGGCCTCTTACGTTTAAGGCAAAACATACAGTGGGAGAGGAAATGTGGATAAAGACCACAAAGTTAGACCTGAGTTCCCTGGTGGGCAGAGACCAATAGATCCGATTATAAGATTATTAGTGCCCAAAACCTGGGAGTAAACAGGCTGTCCCTGGCACTGAAGACTGAGGGAAGGCAGAGGACTTCCGCCCCCATGACCCAGTGTAACTCACAACAGTGTTTCATAGGGTCGGGCTCTCTACTGTCCCTCAGTGTAGGACCAGGGCAACTGAGACATTTTCGGTGGCCCAGAGCAGAGCAGCTGTTCCTGAGCCAGGGTTATTACATGTAGTCTCCACAGCAACATTTCTGAGTGAAAGACTGGCTCCCCGAAGCACTCTAGGAAGACAGTATTTCATGGTGAGGTCCCCTCTTAGAGAGAGTGAGCCGTGGACATAGTCATGGCTCTCAGTCCTTCAGTGAAGAACCTTACTTAATTTTTAAGCTGGTGTTTCTCTAGACTTTTTGGGTTATAGAACCCCCCACACACACACACACACAGTGTTTTTCAATGTTTCTAACACTGTCAGTGTCTTTNTCTCTAGACTTTTTGGGTTATAGAACCCCCCCCACACACACACACAGTGTTTTTCAATGTTTCTAACACTGTCAGTGTCTTTGAAAAGCACATTTCTTCTTCCCCCGTGTGTTGCCAGGTGGACTCCAGGCTGTCCTTACTCTGACATGCCCTCATGGGTCAGCAGGCAGCTAGGAGCCAGCTGCGTTGCAGACGCTGGCTTCCTAGGAGATCTCACCCCGTTGTGTTTGACTTCACAGGTGCTGCACACCCAACTGGGACCCCTTTTGGGCCGCCGCCTCATCACAGCAACTTCCTCAACCCTGCTGCTCACCTAGGTGAGTTGCCCATAGTGACTAGAAGTGGCGTGTGTGTTTCAGAAAACCTTGTTTACTGTCCCTGCCGTACTTCCTGGCAAGTTGGCCGGGGTCCTAGACGCCTCGCTTATCACTCAGGGAGATGATGGGGCCTCGTGGGGATTTGATAGGTGCTGCCTACCTTTGGGATTCAGACCTCTGACAGCCCATCCGCAGGGAGCAGGCCTGTGCTCTGTAGTGTTCTGTCTGGAGGTGCGGTAGGTAGAGCCAGCCTCGGTCCCTTGGGGAGTCCGGCTCACAGCAGCTTGTTCTGCCCATTGGAGGAAGGTAGCACACTCGCCCCGTGTCCACAGGCACCTCCTGGAGCTGGAAGGAAAGACCAGACGATGCTGTGATGAGTCACTACCCATAATGTCTAAATCACTTCACATGTCACTGCCCCCCTCATGTCTCTTCTAGCAAAGGTGCAGGCTCTGCCCGGCCTGGATTTGATATTTTCTGCAGGGTACAGGCAGAGGCCAGCTGTCATGTGCCCGACCCAGGCTTTGTCATACATCAGCCCTCAGAATTTCATCCTAGATTTATTTTAAGATGTCATCTCACTTCTGTTCCGTTAGAGCCTTCAGAGCACATTCCCGGGACAGGGGAGAACAGCAGGACACATCTTAGACCATGTGGCTTCACTAATGTTCCCCACCAGCAAGAGAAATGAGACAGAATGCACTCAGTGCTAGCACATAGCTAGTGTGAATATTGTGCTAATACAGTACCTAATGTCAGGCGCGTGGAAGCCTGTGCATGGCCTGGTAGAAGTGGGAAGGATCAGGTCTGAGTGTAGAGAGGCCTGGGCCCCGCGTGTCTTCCCCACTCCCGGGAAGCTCCGACGTGCTCCCACAGCACAGTCCTGCAGCCTGTCTTCCCCCTGCTCTTGTCTGCAGAGCCTTTCAACCGGCCGTCGACGTTCACGGGCCTGGCGGCAGTCGGTGGCAATGCCTTCGGGGGACTTGGAAACCCTTCAGTTAGTGAGTACCTTTAACTTTTTCAGTCTGTCTTGGACTGTTTATCTCCTCTGATCTGTCTATGGCTCAGGACCTTTCCAGATAAAAAGAAACTACGCTCTTGGGAAATAAATTGAGGCTTTATCATTGCAAAAGCAGGCCTAAACCTTGGCATTAGGTATATGGGTGCATTTACATCACAACTAAGTTTTTAAGGATAGTCCACTGTTAATATACGTCACTGAGGGTGCGGAAAGGTGCTGTAGTTAATTAAAAGCTCCTGCAGGTTGGCGTAAATTCATAGTTTCATCCACATTCCATCTCTACTACCCCAGACTTTAGCTACAACTCCCATCAGAGCTGAAAACAGCTTTTACATGTCCTCTTGCCTTTGGCGTTGGTGGGTGTGAAAAAAGCTTGATGAAGAATAACCAGTTTGGCTCGGTGGTTAGAGCATCGGCCCAAGGACCAAAGCGTCTGGGGTTCGATTCCCGGTCAGAGGCATGTTACCTGAGGTGCAGGTTCAATCCCCTGCCTTAGGGCATGTGGGAAGCCACCAACTGATGTGTGTCTCTCCCCCCCCCTTCCCCTCTCTAAACATCAATGGAAAAAATATCCTTGAGTAAGGATTAAAAAAATAAAAAAGTAAAATAAAAAAAGAACAGGAAGCCACCACCAGGCTCAGGAGAGTGAGGAGCTGGCAGCAATTCTTGCTCTGTAACCTGGGAGGATCGGCTAGTTCTCCACGACTACAAAGTCTGCCTCAAGCAGGAAGAGTTGCAGCGCCTGCCTAGTTCTACCCATTACCTAGCCACTGGGCATAATACACTTACCCTGTTTTCTTCCGGGCCGTCCATACGTCACCGTCCCCTGGCACAGGAGACGTAGAGCACAGCCTGTGGGGCCATCCCCATGCGTCTCGGTGGGGACCTGTGTGTCTGTTCAGGTCACGTGCCCATCTCTGATGACGCCCGTTTGCTAAAGTTGTGGGAGAATGGCAGTCATCTATTAGTGGGCTGCGGTCGCTAGCGGATCCCCCTGAATTCTACTCCGAACTGAGTGTTCATCTTAGTCACAGCATCGGAATATCCCCTCTGCATGCTGGGTCCTGTGCATGGACAGATACGTTTCGTTAGGTCAGGGACACCTGTGTGGCCCCTTCCCTTTTTAATCTGCCCCCTCCCGCCCCTTTGCCTTTGGTTTAAAAAAAAAAAGCAAGCTGTGAGCTGCCTGTCCCGAGCAGGACAAGTTCCTCTAATGAATTTGTTAATCTCCTTTCCTTTTCCAGCTCCCAATAATATGTATTCATTTTAACTCTGAATGCTGTTAAAAGTTTTTTGGTAAGTACCTTCATTACAGCGGATTATATGATTTCTCTTAAACCTTTTTGTTCTCCACTTCACCATTTCAGCACCCAACTCAATGTTCGGCCACAAGGATGGCCCCAGTGTGCAGAACTTTAGCAACCCTCACGAGCCCTGGAACCGGCTGCACCGAACGCCTCCGTCGTTCCCGACCCCTCCGCCCTGGCTGAAGCCGGGGGAGCTGGAGCGTGGCGCGTCCGCTGCAGCTCATGACAGAGATAGAGATGTAGATAAACGAGACTCATCCGTTAGTAAAGATGACAAAGAAAGGTACGGAAAGAAACCGCTCTCGAGTCCCGCTGGGGGAGCCCGCCCTGTGCCAAGTCCCCCGAGCACCGGCCGTCCGCCCGCCCCGCCCCAGCCTCGAGCTTCAGCTGCCCCGTAGCCTCAGCCGCTCACACAGCCGGCCGGGCCCACAGCGCCCCCTAGCGCACGCCCTCCGGCCCCTAGCGCACCTCGGCCGCAGACCAGAACCCCAGCAAAGCGAGCGCCCCGACTCAGAGCAGTTACCCAGCCAGCACCCCCAGGCCCCGTGAGCACTAGTGTGTCCAAACATGACTCTCTCTAAAAGCGAGTGAGGTGGCGCTCGGACCACACACACACACACAGCATGAATCAGCACCATATTTGCTTTCCCGTGCGTGCAGTCATTCAATCATCCATAGGTTTCCTCTGTCTCCTCTCTCTCTTTTTGTTTTCTTTGAGAAAGTCATGTTTGCATGGCCTCATCATATTTTTCTGAAGTTTTGTTCAAACTCAACTCCTGGGCTCTCACAGATGACTCATAAATTTTTGCTAACCTGCATTTAGAGAAACGTCAACAAGCATTATTGGTTTGGGTTTGTTTTGCTGGTGGATAACTAATTTCACTAACCATTTTTATCTCTGTACTTGGTAACCCATGCCTAAAAAAGAAGTAGCCGTAAAGAGGAAACTGTCTTACGGTATTTTTTTTTTTTTTCCTAAAGAATGTCCAAAGCATTCTTGACAGCGTGTCCCTTTTTTTTTTTTCTCTCCTTCAGGCTATTTTCATTTTGAATGAACTGATAAGCAAGGAATACACGAGATAATGCTTGACAGGAAATACCTGATAACAATTTCCTTTTGGTACTTAAGGCTCAAATATGATTCCGATCTTTAATTTTTCTTTAACTGTGTTATAGTGTGTGTGTGTTACAGTGTGCGTGTGTGTGTCCTAGTGATTTAAAAAGAATTCAACTTTGCAGGCTTTAAATGTGACAGATTAGTAGATATTCATCATAGGGCATCATGCTGAGATTTTTATAAGAAAGCTTATAAAAGCACAAGTTTCTTCAAGGCAATGTGATAGAAGCTCTTGGCCAATGGGAGGCCCATGCAGCTCTGAGCTGTAGGCTGCCAAAGTGAGGCGGCCCTGGAGTGGACATGCCCGACCAGGGGCTCTCCTGAGACAGGCTGTCGGTGGAGAGAGCGCAGGATGGGGCAGCAGACCTTTCCCATTGTCCTTGATGGAGTCAGACGGCCTCTTGGATTAAAAGTCAGGAAACCTAATAAATGCACTCTTCTTTAAAGATGCTCTTGTCTTAGCCTTTGCATGTGGGCTAGAAACAATATTTGGAGGGAAAACCTTAGTTCCCCCACTGTGGCCACCTCACCTTCTGAGCCCTGCGCCCCCACTGAGCCAGCGTGTCATCCTGCTTATCCCCTCGCCCTCCTGTCTGCCTGGGGCTGCCCCGAAGCCTTGCTGACTCCTGGTCTTCCCTCTTCGAGTTGTATCTGATTGTTCTGTTGCTGGGCATCTTCTGCCCAGTACTCTTAAGCCCCCACCCAAGACAGGCCTCTAAAATTCATTCACCTTTTCATTCATAGATGCTCTTAAAATTGTCTTGATTTCCCGCAGGAGCTTTAGTGTCTGTGGACCTACTGGCTTTCGCCATCCTCTCGTCAGACTTTAGCTTTCTTGCCCTTCCTAATGCAAAAGTACTTCTGCAGCCCCACAGTCCTGAAATCGTGGTTTCCTTTGAACCCCCCC